ACTAAGTTCAACACGTGATGCCATAACGTGATTCATGAACCATACCTTTTTCGATTTAAGATGTCATGTTACTATGTGGATAGTCCAATAGTCCGATTACTCCATCGTTTCACATTGTCTTGTAATTTTTGTGATGATCTTGTTATCATGTGCAGTCCATCCGTGTGAGGAAGGCACGCCTGCTGTATAGCCGAAGTTCACAGGGTCTGCTAAAGACTCGCGGTTGTAAACAAGGTGTGGTTTCTCGTTCAGCTGAGCAACTGCCAGGGCTCTTGTTGTGGTGACCTATCCGACCGACCGATCGTGTGATTTTCGGGCCGGCATGGGAAGAGGATGAGTTCTGAATCGGATGCTGCTTAAGTGTCGGTAGAGAATCACTACAGGAGAATCAGTTGTGGTACGATGCGCCATGTGGGAGATTCAGAATGAAAAAGTTGAAGCGATGATGACACTGGGTCAACGTTTGACTCGTCTAAGATACACTCTTTTTTAAGCGGGTTCTCGCGCAAATTTTCTGGCAGGCGTGAGATGGGAGTTTACTTGGAAGAAATTCACTCCTATTCAGTCAACCGAAAGCCATAGACGCCAACCTACAGGAATTACGGCAACCCTCAAGCAATTAACGATTCACAAACTAAAAGTGCATCTCACAAACTGTCCTTAGAACAGGGTTACGATGACCTTTGGTAAGTGACCTGTCTGATTTCATCAGTGCTCTAGGACAAGTGAGAGTATCGTTCATTCATTCACCCAGGCGCGTCCGCGCGACGGTGTTTATCGATCGCTCGGATCTGCCATCTCGTTCCACTCAGTCACCGCTTACCGGTCAGTTGCGATCACGTTCACCCGTTTGCATGATAGTGCAACAGAGCATCGATAGACCGAAAGACCGTGGCTTTGGTGACCACTAGCAAAAATGACCACATTCGAGTACCCCACAGCATTGCAAAAAACGTTACAGATGACAAAGATGTATTTTTAGCTAAACCATAAATCGTCCTTGTCTCAGCTTGGTTATCCTTTGGAAACCAACAAACGCGCTGTTCAAATCAATTGTGCACTCCAATAATCTACCCGAACTCCCGAGCATTAGCCAAGGCAAATAGCTTCAATTGATCCAATAACTTGCACCTCCGACTAGGATAACCTTCAGCGCATTCACTGCCTCACATTCATCTTC